TGCATCCCCCCGTCGCAGCACTCACACCGAGGGCAGGCAGGGGAGGACCTGTTTCCTCACGTCCCGGCAACGTCCTGGGGCTGAAGAGCCAGGTGAGCCCTTTTTTCCAGCCTTTCTTCTGTATCACACCAGCAAAGACCTTAAGCACAAGATTAAGCATCTGTTGTGGCCCCAGGGAACCGGGGACCTATGGGACAGGATCTGGCCCCTCCAAGCAGGGATGGGTGCAGGCAGGTGTGTGAGGCTGGTGGAGGATGCTCTGGTCCTGATGGGAGCATCAAGGCTCAGGGCAAAAGCTGGGCCTTCTGTGAGAACCACGTCTGTCCTTGTCACAGCTGCAGCTTCCTGGCTGGGGACACAGGGCCACAGGGCTGTGGGACCTGCCACCTCCCAGCTTCCCTCCCATCTCCAGCACCCCTCGGCAGCCCCATGCTCTGCAGAGGCCAGCCAGGGATGTGGGAAGCACGCAGAGCTGGCATGAAGTTTGTTGCTTCCCAGAACCAGGGCGGGAAATGTGATGGGGGGTCCCTGGTATGGGGCACTGTGGGGACACCCCTTGGAGCTCCCCTGCCCAGGAAAAAGCACCCAGAGAGTTCCCGTTCTTCAGCAGCTTACATCGTGCCTCAGCATGTGCTTTTAGCAGGGGGCTGGGGAAGCATCCATCCCTCCTCCTCTCTGTCCTCCCTTCCCTCCAGCCCTCTATCCCTCTGTCCCTCCATCCTTCCTGCCATCCCTCTGTCCCTCCATCCCTCTTGCCGTCCCTCCATCTCTACACCCTAAGTCCTCCTGCCCAGCCCACAGGCTGCGTGCGCTTTCCCTGCTCCTTTCCCCTTCCCTCCTGCAGTAGCAGGTCCTGCCAGCAACCCACACTGCAGGCTCCACACCCCAGGAGAATGGGGTTGGCTCTTCTGTTGTCATCTCCATCAGGACCCCTTTCCAGCACCTCTCCACACAGCCCACGGCTCACTGGCTCTGTTCCCCGCTTCCCTCCTGGCAGATGTCCTCCTGTAGCCCCTTCTGCCTTGGTATAAGCAACCTCCAGGCCCTGTGCCCTGGACAATCATGCAGTTGTTTTCATAAGCACCGGATGGAGGGTCTGTGGCATCTCCTTGGAGCAGTGGGTCACCTCTCTGGGGCTTTCATGACCCCCTAGAGACCCACAGTAGGGACAAGGTCACTGTGCTCTGTCATGCTGCTCCCACTTGATCTCACAGACTGACTGCAGGCCCATGGGTGGGACTGAGGGACAGCACGGGGAGAGGCCAACCTGCTCCAGCCAAGCACAGTCCTGGCTGTGCCACAGCCTTGGAGGGGCTGATGGCCCCCGAGACCACCAGGTCCGGCCAGTCTGTGCAGGATAGAGCAGCTCTGCTAATGCAGAGCAAGGGTGCAGTGGGAAGCACTGGGAAACCCCAAAGCTTGATGGAGCGGGAGGATGAACAGAGATGGAGAAGCACCAGGACAGATGCTCAGATTGATGACACCAGGACCTGGAGCTGCGTGGCTTGCAGTTTGCAGCAGGGCATGCAAGCCAGTGAGGAGGAGGAGGAGAGAGAGGTTCGTCGGGAGCCCGTGCATCCGGCCACTCATCCAGCCTTCTCCATCCTGCAGCACGGCTCTCCTCGCTCCCCTGCCCGGCAGCACCCACGGGACCGGAGCGACGGCTGCGTGAGTCAGGGCTGGGCGTGGGGTCAGGGTGACCCTGCCTTTTGCAGCAGCGTTAGTCACCGTGCCAAGCTGCCCCAGCCCGGCA